AACAGAGGCATGGATACATGGAACAGACTGACAGCTGTCAGAGGGGAGGTAGGAGCGATCGGCTGGATGAAAGAAAGTGAAGGGAGTAGCCAAAGAACATATATACAGGTGACCCAAAGACACAAACAATAGTGTGGTGGTGGCAAGAGGAAAGGGCGGGGCAGGGGCTGGGTGGAGGTGGGCAAAGGGGGAGAAAATGGGGACATCTGTAATAGTGTCAACAATAAAATTAAAGTTAAAAAGAAAAACAAAACAGCTTCAATATAAAATTCTTGACCATCTTGCCCTGTCTCCTAACAGCTCCCTGTGGTTTTTTTCCTACTTCTTGTCACTCTACACTGAAATTGCCTACTTCCATGTGTGTTTTTTCCACTAATGAGTGATCGTCTGGAGGACAGTAAAAAATTGCCTTAGTCATATCAGCATCCACAGCATGTTACACAGTAATTAGAGTTAAATGACTGATTGTATTTTTCCAAACAATGTACAAAGTGCCTTACATACATACATCACAATCAATCCTCAAATCTTATGGTATAGGTCAGGTCTCCATGTACACATGCACATGTGAGGACTGGTAGAGTTGGTAAATTGCAGCCAGTGTTTTGCCTCAAGCACTATGCCCTTAGTCACCTCTTCTACGTTGTCCTGTGGATTGCCTCAACATTTGGTGGTTGGATGAAGGTGTAAAGGAATAGATGGCAACCTGGGACAGGGAACATGCTGTTAACTTAATATAGTCTTTCAAGATAGTTCCTTAAACAGGCTACTTACATACTAAAAAAACTCCTTTTATTGCCCATAATTTTTCAAGTTTATTTTTTTAAAAATATATAGACCACAAATGGAAAACAAAATACCTGCTGCTAAGGAGATTATATTTATATCTTCTTTCATTTTCCCTAAGGGCCTTTGCACATACTTTGGTCTGGAATGTTCTCTTTCCTTTAGCCTACTTGAGATAAGACATCATAAAGTGAAATAGAAGTAGGGCTTAGGAGTTAGACTACCTAAGTTAGAAAATTCTCCACTTAAAAGCTGAACAATTTTTTATTTTTATACTTTCTGAATGTCATTTAATTCATTTTTCTTTAAATAACCAAATATTGAGAACTTTACAAAAATGCCAATTATATTTGTTAATATTCTTTTCCCTTTCTCCTAAGCATGGGTGGGTTTTTTGTAGACACACCTTTTAGTCCAAAGGGAATGTGATCGATTCTCTCTCAAATCAACTTTTCCAAACAGAAATCCCTGTGAATAAATAGGACCAGTCTGTGTTAATTTTCTTGTGATGGTGTTAGTTGCCAAAAACATCTTTAGCGAATGAATAAAGGGGAAATGTAAAGTACTGTGTTTTGCTTGGTGAATCTTGATTGCAAAATTTCTTCTTTCAAAACTTTTCTCCTGCTGCACTTGCTAGTTTTTCAGCCATGATCTCTTACTACTTTCTTTGGTTATATCTTCTGAACTCAGAATCAGCCAGAAGTTCTTCCACAATAGTTTTTTCTCTTTGTTTCTTGGGAATTCATGAGTGGTAGAAGTCAGCTGGATTGTCAACAACGGTTCCCATTTAAAAGTACTCAGGAAAGCCATCCCTATCATTTTTCTTATAAAGCCTTTTTGGGTCCATGACAGCTCTCATCTTCAGTCTTTGAGATCATTTTTTAGTTCATCTGACAATTCTGGAGCTTTCATACCAAACCAGCCATCACCTGTAACAGCTGAATAATTTAGATAAACTTTCTACCTGTCATTTTTCTCACTTGTAATATGGAAACAATAAAGGATCTATCTCACTGGGAGGGAGTAGGGACTAAATCTGATAATGTTTCTAAAGAGCTTGACCATGTAATTGACACACAGCAAGAGTTTAATAAACATTACCTGTTATGTTAGCTCTTAGTTAAAATTAACCTTGTCTTTCAAATATTTTCCTCAAAGGATCTTTTCCTGTCTCCCCAGGCCTGACTCAGATAGCTTTGCTATTTGCTTTCTTAACACTTTATAGTTTTCCATAACAGCTATCAAAGGTAGTGATTATTTTTATATACATTATCTGTTGATTATTTGAATAATATGTGTCTTTCACAACAGAATGAATACTGCATAATGAAAGGCATTCTATCTATTTTGTTCTTTACTATGTCCTGCTATTTAGCCAGAGCCTTGCATCTAACAGCTGTTCAATATATCTGTATTGAATGATTGAATGTGAAAATGCATGAATGAAGGTTCAGTTGTCTGCCTGCCTCAGCAGTTTCATTTCTTAGCACTTAACTAAATGTCCCTGGGTCTACTAAGCAACACGGATTTCCTGGAATACAATATATACTCTTAGACCTCTCAAGCCTTTGTACATGTTAGTTTTTTGGCCTGAAATGTCTTTTCTGTGTCTTGCTCTAACCCTTATTTATCGCTAAAACTTATTAAGTTACCCCATTCCTCAAGATTTTCCCTAATCCCTAGGTGGTGATATTACCCCTTCACTCAGTTTCCATGGACATCTTTGTTAGAGGAAGTCATTGAGAGCATGTGATGCCCTGTTGGCCCACAAGCTGGACCTGTGCAATCCAATGTTCTTGACCTCCTACCTTGTCCTTGGACTACACATTCCACCCACTGTTCCCATAGATGGAGCCATTATTCAAGAACACAGCCTTAAGAAAGCATTGTGTTGTTGACACCATCTGGATGGTATACAAAACTGTATCCTGTTAAAGCCCCTATTAAAACTTTTAAGATGCTGACAGGTGGATCCAGAGATCTATTTGTCTTGCAGCCACCCAAGACAAGTCTTGTATATAAGATCTCTTGCTTACTAAACCTGCCACCTGTCAATCTGGAGTGGTCTGTCTCTTTCGTTAATTTTTCCTTGCCCTCCTTGTACAGGGGCAACTTTCAAATTTCACCCAGGGAACTCCTGAGGTCATGAATCAACATCTTTGGATTTCCTCTGACTCTAATTCTTTCTTGAAATTGTATTTTACAAGTTTGTTGATCAAAAGTGACACACTTGGTTATAAAAGCTACCATCCCCTTATAAAAATGGGAGTCTAAGTTTCTTAACTAGCATTTGCAGTCTATGTAAAGTCCTCCTAGTCCAAATGAACTTTATACTTCAGGCTATGTTTATGATGGTAGGTTCCTCAAAAAAATTAAATTAAATTAAAAAAATGTAGTAAGAGAAAAGTAAGCCAACACTACATTTACAGGAAGAAGGAACCCAGGCCCGATGTTAACACTTTGTTCTCAGATAACTAATCTAAATGCCAATCTTTTCCTTTACCTCATGGCATATCTCACTCTCTCATCACCTGATCTCCATTTCTTTCATCTCCTTGTCCTGAAAGCTATCATCATCTTTCTGCTGGGCTATTGTGCATGCATCCTACTCATCTTCCCAATTACGCAGTGAACTCATTTAATATTCCACAGCCCAACACATGATAATTTTTTTGCTCCTGAAAAGGGGGTCCCTAAATGTTGCATAACTGGGGAACTGCCCTATATCATGGTCACTACAGGCTCATGTGATACTGAAAGCCCAGCAGTTTTTTCCACATCCAGCACACTGGCATTTTCAAACTCAGACAAGGTGGGGCATTTTTTTAACATAATACATTTTTTTCTTGTTTCCCATTTCTTTCATCTTCTTCAGGAACCCTTATGTTTTCAAGATAGAATTTCTGGACAACTCTTTATCTGCTCCCATAATTTGACTTCCCAACAACATGCACATCCCTCTAGTAGTATTTTTCATATCAGCTCATTTGTATATATATGGCTGATTATTTAATTTTATATTACTTTCCAGGCAAATGTCAAGGTAATAGAGGTTTAAACCCTCTATTTACTCATTTACTCATATTTGTGTTTATAGATGTTAGTCCAGTTGTTAGTAAGATAATTAGTTGAGTGATGTTTCTTAATATTTCGATACTTCTTTCTCAAGACTGACACTAATTTTATTTCATTTTTCATTTTTTTCCGGTATGTGATTTCCGTGTTCCTCTGAGTCTAGTTATGCTATCTCCCTCTTCACTGCCCACAAGCATGCACATGTTTAAGTTCTTATGAATGTCCTTGACATATTTCTAGGCCAAATTGAAATGTTACCATTTACAAACACAAGACTCTCCAGGATCTCCTAGCTGGTCTAGATCTCCTCAGTTCCACAGTTCCCATTATATAGTTATCGTGAGTCCATGAAGTTACCTCTGTTTGTCAATGATAAACTCAGTGGTGTAGGAACAAATCTCTGAAGGGCAATGTAGAATACATTAGGGTTCATCCCCACTCTGTGTATTGAAGATAAACTATCTTTACAAGTCACTTATTTTCTCTATGTATACATCTAATAAAGGTTTTGCTCTTGACACATACACAAACACATTTCATAATAGGAGAAATCATTCCAAACATTCAGCAAATATAGGCAGTTGGTTACACTATAAATAAACAAGTCAGAGCAGGTATGTCTGATAAAAAGAAAAAAAAACCATGTAAGGAGAGAGTTAACAGAAGGAAGAGAGTGGGTTCTACTTATAGCAAGGGCAGCGTTGCATGCTGAGAGAAAGGAAGTAATAAACCCCAGACACCTAAGAGGTTTGGTGCTTTTGTCATCAAGCTGTGCTTTTATCATCAAGAAAGAAGAATTGAGAAGATGTTGGGTCACACAAGGATCTTGGTAGAAAGGCCTCTGAGGTCATCCTTCTATTCAGTAGAAATAAAAGACAATAACAACCATCTCACACATAAAAATGAAATTTGTTATGTTAGATGATATAACAGTATTTAAAATTATTGTGAAATGTCCTTTTACCAGGTCACCAAGCTCCTTTCCTTGTCTCTCGACCTTTTCTTTTTTGTCCTTCAATATTTGTTTTTGCCCTGTCCTTGATTTTTGCAGAGTTGCTATGATTGTATGCTATCTTTCTTACTCTGTTCCCTTTTAACCCTTCCCACTAGGCCAGGATCTGTGAGCAAGAGAAATTTTGGACATCAGGACAAGTAGGAGCAGGGGAGCAGCTGCGATGGCTTCAGGAATCCTGGCGAACATGAAGGAGGAAGTGACCTGCCCCATCTGCCTGGAGCTCTTGACAGAACCCCTGAGCCTGGACTGTGGGCACAGCTTTTGCCAAGCCTGCATCACTGCAAACAACAAGGAGTCCATGATCAGCCAAGGAGGAGAGAGCAGCTGCCCTGTGTGCCGAATCAGTTACCAGCCTGGGAATCTGCAGCCTAATCGGCATGTGAGCAACATAATAGAGATGATTAGGAAGGTCATTTTTAGCCCAGAGGTGGAGCAAAAGAGAGACTCTCTGTGCGTGCCATGGAGAGGAACTCCTGCTCTTCCGCAAGGAGGATGGGAAGTTCATTTGCTGGCTTTGTGAGAGGTCTCAGGAGTACCGAGGTCACGACACGTTCCTCATGGAGGAGGTTGCCCAGGAGTACCAGGTAATGGACCAGGATGGAGGAAAGCCTGGGCAGAAAATAGTACCTGATTGGAAATCTGTACTTTGCATTTGGCTCTAATTACTTTGTCACGATAAGCCTGAGACCTGTGATCACTTTTGTTCCTATACTCACCTTCCAAGGCCTGAGGGACATTTCTGTGCATTCCACACAATTAAAAAATGATGAGCAGTCAAAACAGAAAGATAATTTTTATAGCTTCAGCTAATAGGTGGAGGTTTGGTCCCTAAGTAAAGCTGTCATTGCCCTGTAGGCAGGTGGAGTAAGTGGGCACCGGGGTGGATCAAAACCTACGTTCTTTCCTTACTACAGGACTAGGTTTCTTCTTCTAGGACACAGGGAATCAGTCTTCTGAAATGAGAATGGTGACTTCTACCACCTGAATCTTAAAGAACACGTTCACCATATTAGGTTTCCTTCCAGTCACAGATTCTAATTGTTTCACAGTTCCTGTAAACTATAGTCTCTTCAGAGACTAGTCTGATTTCCCCCCACTTGTCTTCTATTCTGATGCTTAGAAAGCCCATAGCCTGACTCTGGTATGATTCCTCTCTCACAAGAGAAACTCCAGGCAGCTCTGGACAGGCTGAGGGCTAAATAGCAGAAAGCTGAAAAGTTGGAAGCTGACATCAGGGAAGAGCGAACTTCCTGGGAGGTAGGAGGAGACTTTTCCTGAGGGAGTTAGACAAGAATCTGGGCATTTCCTTGGGTGTTAGTCCCAAGGAATTCGCTTTCTCTTGTTCCCTGACAGTCAATATATCCAATCATTGATTAGGCATTCTTTCTCCTTCTCCTTATAGGGGTGGGATAAAAATAAACCTGTCACAAGTTAACACAGGTAATTGTAGGTTAGTGATTCTCATAGAGACTCTCAGGTGAGATTGGCTAGTAAATTATGTTTTCATTTCTGTCATTATTTTGAGTCTTTAACATTTCCAGGGTAAGACAATTGACAATGGCTTGTGGCTCTTTCCCCCATGCTCAAAGTTAGGCTGAGGTTGAGGGTGGGGGTCAGGAGTAATGCAGGAGGCATGACTGTCCTGGGCAGCTGCGTGAGAGCTGAGCCACACCCAGGTGTCCCATTTTGGTACAGGGTTAGCCTGAATAATGCAGACTTGAGGCCATTACTTTGGAATGTGATGAAGAAAAAGTAATAGGAAAAATCAGCTTCCCCAAGCATTGCTCCCCTGCTTCCATCTCCCTTCCCTCTGAGAACTTCCACATCAGGTACTTTTTTTTTCTGGCTCCCAGTCTCTGCCTGATAGCCTGAGTCCCTCTCTGTCTTTCTCATTCCTGAAGAATCAAATAAAAACAGAGTTAAAGTGTCGAGGATTATTTTAAACAACTGAGAGGCTTCCTGGACCCTGAGGAGCAGGAGCTACAAAAGCTGAAGAAGGAGGTGACAGTTATTCTCTGTGTCCTGGAACAGTCTGAGAGTGAGCAGGTCCAGCAGAGTCAGTTGTTGAGAGATCTCATCTCAGATCTGGAGCATTGGTTGCAGGGGTCAACAGTAGAGACGCTGCAGGTAAGACTTGGGAAGAAGTCCCAGCATTTGACTTGAGGAAAATGAAAACTAAGTTTTCTCTGCTGTGTGGCTGTGCTGTTTCTGATGGTGATACTGAGATTTCTTTGGTCTTGCATTTCAGAGGTTGTAGGAATAATTTAATGCATAAATAACAAGGGAAAATCTTGTTTTAATGTATTAATTGCAACGCAAACATTTGAGTTTGGAGAAAACTATTGTGTCCAGTTATAGTCTATAGGCCTCTGCATCTAGCTTATGACACTTGAGATACCTCTTTATGATCAAATTTTTTTTTTTCATAGAAGGAGTTGAGATTTTTCTCCTCTTTCTGTATTTTCTGAATAAACAATTATGAAGAATTGTTATTATTTATTCTTTAATTATTCAATAGATTCACCAATGAAACCATCTCACTCTGGTCTTTCTTTTTGGAAAAGTTTAAAGTATTTTTTTTGTTTTTGTTTTTTATTAGGTTTTCTTAGGCTTTTTAAAAGAATATTTCTTCAGTTGGATTTTGATAATGTACATCTTTGTAGAAATTTGTCCATTGTAAGTTATCAGGTTTGTAAACATGAAGTTAGCCATTATAATCCGTCAGAATCTCTCATTTCTACAGTACTCACAGTAATGTCCTTCTTTTGTTTCTGATATTAATGGTTTGTTTTATTCTTTTTTTGGTCAATTCAGTTATGTTTGGTTAATTTTATTGATGACTTTCAAGGCTGAACTTTATTGTTTTATTGATTTTTCTGTTTTTGGCCTTTCTATACAACTGATTTTGTTCACTTATATAGTTTCCTTTGTGTGTGTGTATGTGTAAATTCACATGCATACATGAGTGCATCATGTTTAATTTGCTGTATTTTTTTTCTTGTTTCTTAATGTGAGAAACAAGAATATAAACATACCACTGAACTTTTCTGTTACAGTTTTTAATAATATACATGCATTATTTTAGCTCTATTGCATACTTTTAGATTATTTTTTATTTTGATTCGATTCACCTTATTTTCAAATTTTCTTTTTTTTTTTTAACACTTGGAATATTTGAAACTATGTTGTTATATTTACAAACACTTGGTGATTTTCATTTTTTCTTCTTCTGGATGTTTTAAATTTAATTCCTTTCTAATCAGAAAACACGTATTTTGTTATTTCAGCCTTTTAAATGTATTGACACTGTCTTACAGACTAAATTATGGTATATACAGACATTTTTATATGAATTTGAAAAATAATGTGTATTGTGCTTTCATTGGGTGACAGGTTCCATATATGACATTTAGGTAGAGGTGGTTGATAATGTTTGTCATGTTGTTTACATTCTCGATGATTTTTAATTCATTTAGAGTGGTTTCTTTCTTCTTTTTAATTTTATTTTTTTGTTAATTCTAGTACAGTTGTCCCAGTTTTTCCCCCTTTGCTCTTTTCTGCCCAGTCTACCACCTGCTCCCACAGTCAATCCCTGCACTGTTGTCCATGTCCACAGGTCATTCATACATGCTCTTTGACTCATCCCTTCCCCTTCTTTCTACCATTATCTCCCTCTCCCCGCTCCTCTGGCACCTGTCAGTCTGTTACATGTTTCCGTGTCTCTGGTTCTATTTTGCTCATTAGTTTTTTTTGTTCATTAGATTTCTCTTATAAGTGAGCTCATATGGTATCTGTCTTTTACCACCTGTCTTATTTCACTTAGCCTAACTGTCTCCAGTCCCAACCATGCTGTCACAAAAGGTAGGGATTCCTTCTTTCTTTCTGCTAAATAGTATTCTATGGTGCAAATGTACCACAGTTTTTTAATCTACTCATCTACTGATGGGCACTTACGCTGTTTCCAGCACTTGGCTATTGTAAATAACACTTTATGAGCACACGGGTGCATAAATACTTTTGGATTGGTCTTTTGGGATTCTTAGAGTATATTCCCAGCAGTGGAATTGCTGTCAAGAGGCAGCTCCATTTTTAGTTTTTTGAAGAAATTCAATACTGTTTCCCCAGTGGCTGTACAAGTCTGCATCCCCACAAACAGTGCACTAGGATTCCCTTTTCCCCACATCCTCCCCAGCACTTGTTGTTTGTTGATTAATGATAACCATTCTGACAGATGTGAGGTGATGTATTTTTTTGTGGCTTTAATTTGCACCTCTCTGATGGCTAGTGATGTTGAGCATTTTTTCATATGTCTATGGGCCACCTGTATGTCCTCCTTGGAGAAGTGTCTATTCAGGTCCGTTGCCCATTTTTAATTGGATTGTTTGTCTTCCTGGTGTTGAGTTGTATGAGTTCTTTATATATTTTGTAGATTAAACTCTTGTCTGATGTATCATTGGCAAATATATTCTCCCATACAGTTGATTTTCTTTTCATTTTGATGATGGTTTCTTTATCCAGGCAAAAGCTTTTAATTTGATGTAGTCCTATTTGTTTATTTTTCCTTTATTTTTCTTGCCTTAAGAGAGGAGTCCCTAATTCCTGGCCCCCACACCAGTCCTGGCCTGTTCCTTATTAGGACCTGGCCACACAGCAGGAGGTTAGTGGCGGGCAAGCAAGCGAAGCTTCATTTCCATTACCACCTGAGCTCCGCCTCCTGTCTCTCCTCCCCACTCCCCAGCCTTCATTGGAAAAATTGTCTTCCATGAAACCAGTCCCTGATGCCAAAAAAGTTTGGGGACCACTGCCCTAGAAGATACATTAGCAAAAATATTGCTAGTTAGGATTTCTGAAATTTTCTGCCTATGTTTTCTGCTAGGACTTTTATGGTGTCATGATTTATATTTAAGTTCTTTATCCATTTTGAGTTTATTCTGGTGTATGGTGTAGTTGGTGGTCTAGTTTCATCTTTTTGTGTGTGTCTGTCCAGTTCCCTCAACACCATTTTATTGAAGAGACTGTTTTTACCCCATTATATGCTTGTGACCTCATTGAAAATATTAATTGACCATGGTGACATATGTTTATTTCTGAGCTCTCTATTTTGTTCCATTGATCTATGTGTCTATTCTTATGCCAGTACCAGACTGTTTTGATTACAGTGGCCTTGGAGTAGAGTTTGATATCAAATATTGTGATCCTTCCAACTTTGTTCTTCTTTCTCAAGATTGCTGAGACTATTCAGGGTCTTTTTCATTTCATATATATTTTTTAAATATTTGTTCTAGATAATTGAAACATTTTAATAGGTATTTTAATAAGGATTGCATTGAATCTATAAATTACTTTGGGAAGCATGGACATTTTAATGATGTTAATTCTTCCAATCCATGAACACAGCATATGCTTCCATGTATTTATATCTCCCTCAATTTCTTTCTTCAGTGTTCTATAGTTTTCCAAGAATAGATCTTTTACCTCCTTGGTTAAATTTATTCCTAGGTACTTTATTTTTCTTTTTGCTAAAGAAAATGGGATTTTCCCTCTAGTTTCTCTTTCTGATAGTTTATTGTTGGTATACAAAAATGCCTTCAATATCTGAATATTGACTTTGTATCCCTATATTTTGCCAAATTCATTTATTATTTTGAATAGTTTTTGGTGGGGACTACGGAGTTTTCTATGTACACTATCATGTTGTCTTCAAACAATGAAAGTGTTACTTCCTCCTTTCCAATTTAGATGCCTTTAATTTTTTTTCTAGTCTGATCACTGTAGCAAGAACTTCCAGTACTATGCTGAATAAGAGTGATGAAAGCAGACACCCTTGTCTTGTTCCTCATCTTAAGGGAAAGCTTTTAGTTTTTGCCCATTGAGTATGATGTTGGCCTTTATTATGTTGAGGTATGTTCCCTCAATTCCCACATTGTTGAGTGATTTTATCATAAACAGGTTCTGGATTTCATCAAATGCTTTTTCAGCATCTATTGATATTATCATGTTAATTTTGTCCTACATTTTGTTAATGTGGTATATTATGTTTATTGATTTGTGAATATTGGACCATTTTTGCATCGCTGGGATAAATCTCATTTGATCATGGTGTATGAGTTTTTTAATGTATTACTGGATCCAGATTGCCAATATTTTGTTGAGGATTTTAGCACCTATGTTCATCAGAAATATTGGCCTATAATTTTCTTTCTTTGTTGTGTCCTTACCTGAGCATAGAAGTGCATAAGTACTTTTGAATTGGTCTTCTGGGATTCTTTTGTGTGTCTTAACCTGGCTTTGGAATTAGGATGTTACTGGCCTCATTAGAAAAAGTTTGGAAGTCATCCCTCTTCTTCAATTTTTTGAAATAGTTTGAGAAGGATAGGAGTTAGCTCTTCCCTAAATGTTCGGTAAAATGCACCCCTGAAGCCATTCAGCCTAGGGCTTTTGTGTGCTGGGAGCTTTTTGATTACTGCTTCAGTTTTGCTAGTTGTTATAAGTCTACTTAGGCTTTCTGCTTTTCCTTGATTCAGTTTTGGAAGATTGCATGTTTCTAGAAATTTATTCATTTCACTGAGTTTGTCCAATTTCTTGGCATATAACTGTTTATAGTAATTTTTTACAATACTTTGCATTTCTGTAGTATTGATTATTTTTTCTCTTTCATTTCTGAGTTTATTTATTTGAGTCCTCTCTCTTTTTTTTCTGATGAGTCTGGTGAAAGTTTTGTCAATTCTGTTTATCTTTTCAAAGAACCAGCTCCTGGATTCATTGATCGTTGAATTGTTTTTTTAGACTCTATGTCATTTAATTCTGCTTTGATCTTGATTATTTCCTTCCTTCTACTCACTCTGGACTTTGTTCTTGTTCCTCTAGTTCTTTCAGATGTAGGATTAGGTTGTTTATTTGAGATTTTTCTATCTCCCTTTGGTAGCCCTGTATTGCTATAAACTTCCCTCTCAGGACTGCCTTCACTGTGTCCCATAGGTTTTGGGTTGTTGTATGTTTATTTCCATTTGTTTCCAGAAACTTTTTGATTTCTTCCTTGATCTCATTGTTAACACATTTGGTATTTAATAACATACTATTCATTCTCCATGTATTTGAATGTTTTTGAGTTTTTTCCTTGATGTTGGTTTCTAGTTTCAAGCCACTGCTG